CAAGCATTTGGGGAGTCCGCAATGGGTCGTGCACAAATTTTTGTGTGGCATTCACGTTTTAAAAATGGCCGAACCTCTTCCAGGCTTGGCAGCGGCGCTGGGGTCGTTGTGTTTCCTCCCAGGGGAACTACTTCGAGGGTGATGGATGAATTTAATACCTGAGATAAGTGTACGGGTTTTTATAGGCGCAGTCTGGAAACTTTCCGATCGCACCTCGTATATGACTCATACTCTTCCTACCTGTCTGGGTAGTTCTGTAAATCTAGGTTATGCTGTGAAGAAGACTGTCCTCTGGGATGTTGCACCACATAGTCCAGTAGAGGTTCGCAGATCTTTCAAAGGCACTTGCTATCTCCATCATCAGCACCCATCGCCCTGATGAGCGAGGCAGCAAGCACCTCTGAAATGTTGGTAACTTCTACCAGACTACACAGCACAACAACCAAGAAGACGGAGCCGACAGAAACCAATCTCGTCTTCATTCAAACATTGCTTTTAAGTTTTGAACTTCAAGGATTTTGAGAGAACTGCTTTAGCTTTGTGTAAATTGTCTGAGCCATCAGCATTTCATTCCTCAGACCGCAGACTCATCTCGATATTGGTAACGCCAACTTACAAATAGTGCACATACTCAGTCTGTGACTGGAGCCATCGGACTCCAATGTAAAACCTTGCGTTTATGTTTCTGAAATGTTTTTCACAATTTTACACAATCTTTTTTTTCAGTCCAATTAATTTCCTTACCATTTCAGTTGTTTAGTTCCTGTAAAATGCGTGTCATTTCATTAGGCTTTGCACTGTATTTTGACTGGTCAACATTTCTTTCCAACCGTTGGCTACACCAAGTTGGTCGCCACCCTGCGAGTATCATTTTGGCTTCTGACATGGTTTTGATGTAAATAACGTTCAACGTTCACCCACACAAATCATGTTAAGCACGACGTACATATACAGAACAACTCTGAATACGATATTAAAATACAATAAAATATGGAAGAAAACATCATTTTGATATCTGATAAACATCTGACTAAAAGTTGCATTTAAGAAATTATATTTAAGTTTATATAATTTATACACCTGAAGATAGTTCATTTGGAACTGAAACATGTCGTGTAAAAAGTGATGTTCTAATGTAAATCGAACATTTCGATAGAGAACATCATTTTAATATATTTTAA